AGCATATAATGTTCATAATTCAAAGTCAATATCCAATGTATGAATGTTTTCACTGCAACTTTCTCATTTGTGTTTATTCAAATCAATTTTCACAACAACCTGTTTTTATCTTACAGACCTCTGGAGAATATTCTGAACCATGCCATTTAGCAATGTTACACCTGAAATCGTTACAGAATTTATCATCACAGGTTTCAATGGGGTTGAACACCCAAGGACTATTGGGTTTGTCATTTTGGCAATTTATGCATTCATTTTGCTGGGCAGCAGCATCAATATATACATTATTTCCAGGGACAAACACCTTCATACCCCCATGTACTTTTTTATTTGCAATCTTGCCGTTGTAGACATATTGTACAGCACAAGTGTCAGCCCAATAATGATGGTCATTCTCATTGCTGACATGAAAACAATCTCTTACAAACCATGTCTGACTCAAATGTTCATGTTCCATTTTGGTGGTGTCATGGAGATCTTTGCAATTACCCTGATGGCTTATGATCGTTTAATTGCAATTTCCTATCCTTTAAGGTATCACAGTATTCTCACAAGAACTCGTATACTTGGATTAGCTGTAGCAACGTGGGCGCTGGGTTCTGCCCTTACTGCAATTTTTACAGGCACAGCTGATAGACTTCCTTACTGCCTACCAGCTCTTAAATATGCTTTCTGTGATTATGCTGCTCTAGTCAGAGCAGCCTGTGTCAATCCTGATGAGTACTTTGTGCTATCAACAGTGATCTCTTTTTTTGCCTTGTTTGGTACATTCACTTTTATTGCCTTATCCTACCTTAAGATAATCTTTGCTGTTGTTAAAATCTCTTCACCATCAGCCAGAAAGAAAATGTTCAGCACTTGCTTGACTCACTTGATTGTAGTAGCTTGTGTTTTTGCCCCTCCATTTGTAAGTATTATTCTTACCAGGTTAGGCTTGGTTTTGAGCCTTAAAGAACGTCATATTCTGCTTATTGGCTCCTGTCTAGGTCCCTCACTTCTTAATCCTTTTGTGTACTGTTTGAGAACAAAGGAAATAAGAAGTCAGCTGTTGAGAATATTTAAAACAGTTGAACCAACAATTGAACCAATAAAATAAACATTTTGGGGTTTTATGAGTTCATTTCATGCTTTCATTCAAATTGTACATATTAAAAACATAAACATTAATTGTATCTTTGATTATGGCCTCTTCTCTTGCTTTCAGTTATTTGTACACATTTTTTATTTTGTTCTGTCTTTTACAATAACAGAAACATTCATCAGCATTTTATCTGACATTACAAAAAAGATTTTTAAATAAAAAAAACAGTACAGTGCTGCTAAGGAAATGTAATATTTGTTTCTAAAAGTGTAATTTTGCAGGCACATCAATATTTCTTTACTTTTTTTGTCCCTCATTCTTTCTGAGTTTGATTCAGTGATAATAAAATTCCTTGGTGAAAGCAAGGTATGCCCGATATTTCCTGATAAATAAATTGTAATATGAGTGCTAATGACTTTGATCAATGATCAGATTAATTAAATGAACAAGCTCAACATCTGGAACCTTCTGGAAGTATTCTGAAGGTAGGGTTGAACAACAGCAAAACAAAAATACACATGCAGTCATTTAAAATGTGAGAGGTGTTATACAACATACTGTACTGCAACATATGACATGTTTATTAATTTATGTATCACACAATACAGTATGTTAAAATTAAAATAATATTAATAAAAGTAATGATAACATGGAGGAACCCACGTAGTGTATAGCAAACATTAGATTACTTAGACAAGTTTATTGTATAATCTGTTGGGAACACTATGGTTTTTTTTTTCAAATTTACATACTCATTAAAATGATTTATATTTTTTTCTTAATGCTAATTATACAATCTAAATGATAGACGTAAAACCATTTACACTGAATGGGAAGCTGTCTTAGCCGTAATACTGTTTACTGTAAAAGGTCTCTCACTCACTTGCTCCTCCCTCTCTCACACATGTCTCTGGCTGGCTCATTCTCTGTGTCAGGTTCAGCTCTGAAAAAAAGGTGTAATGAAAATCTCATATTACAGAGAAGTCATATAATCAGAAAAAATATATTATATTTCGGAAGAGTATAAATTACAATGTTATTTTAGTATAATTTAATTCAATACAACAATGCTTGACATGTCTTAGACTACATTGTAAAGACACAGGATGCAAGCTGTTTAAACTGTATTCAAAGATTCTTTATCTTAAATCACGTGATTGTATAAAATTCATAGGTAGACATTATTAGACATTATTAGGATGAATAATCTGAGCTATTACTGAAGCTATTACCAAAATTACATTTTCTATTTTTACTGCATACCTCTATTAACCCTTTTGTGTATTTTTTTAGAGCAAAGGAAATAAGAAGTTAGCATTTGAGAATATTTAAGTCTGTTTTACCCACAGAATAACATGGTTTATAGTTTTCTTTCTAGTTATGGCTCCTTTAGATGCATTTATGCAATTTGTACACATTAAATATTAACTTTTTGATTAACTACTGTCTTTTACAATAATGGAATCATTCATAAATTTAATTTCATATTCACATTTTACATATTCAAACTTCTTTTTTTTTGCTTTTGTCCCATTCTCACAATGACACAATGACATTCTCAACTCAAGGCTAAAACCAACTTTAAGATGAAATGGGTGAGATCAAGGAACTAGTGTTCCACCCATATATGTTTCTCTTTGTAAATGTATTTGGATTCCACAACATAAATGGGAACCTATCACCCTAAGAATGCACACGTAAACCAATTAAGGCCCTTTATAACCTAGGGATTCTTCACAAATAAAATCTCAGTTCCCTAAATATACAGAATATCAAGTTCTCGTAAAAAAGTTCAAATAATTAGCTACAATCTGGTCTTTTCAGATAAGCTCTCACCTCCAATATCTTTATTTCCCTGTTGTTGTCTTCTCCTGTACCTGCCTGTTAGTTATGAAGTAAGAGACAAGATGTAAAAAGGGTTAACTTAAGTCAGTTCTGCCTGAAAATTAGACTTCTAAGCAACAGGGGTTTATGGCAGGAAAGGGGGTTAACTGATAAGGATTCCAGATGCGAGCAAGGAACCCCCTGGGGGCATAATCTTAAACTGACCATTTGGCCAGGGCCTCTTAACTGGCCAAATACCATGACCCCCCCACCCCCTTACCATAACACCGAATGATGTCCGAAGCGGCAAGGAAGGACTATATAACCTAAAAGTTTGTACCGGCACATCGAACAATACTTCGGTTTTGTTGTTTCTTGCGGGAAACAAGACTTCGACTTTATTGTTCGTTGCATGCAATAAACTCATCTGTTTTACTTCATCTCGGGATCAAGAACCTTATTCTTTCTGTTACAACAGTTACTGTATATACTGTGCTGTCTTCCTGACCTGCTGTTTGATACTTAATCATTTACTCAGAACCTAAATAGCCAAATAAATAATCTAAGTATTAAATAAATAAGTAAAAAACATTAACGTTTTGATTGCTTTGAATACCGAATCTGGACCCCTTACATGTCAGCCAAACTTCCCTTTGCTTTGAAGCTTGAAATGTTAAAACTAACCATGTTACCCATTTTATCAAGATTCTTAGAGATACTTCCTTAGTCACTCGTAGCTGTAACAATAGAAAAGGTAAACATATTTGTGCTGTGGCAAAACATCATGCAATGCAAGCATTTGTTGGTTTAAAGAAAAAAACTGGAAAATGTTATAAGTGGTATCATATTGAGAGTGTTATATTGTCATATAAGGCAGACAGAAACCAACCATGCAATAAGCGCAGAGCTCAGAGTGAGAAACTCAAGACTGCAAATGTACACAATGTGACTGGTACAGATAGTGATACAGGCTCATGAAAGACTGAGCATAATGCAGAGTCAGAAAGAGAGGAGTAAAATGAGAGAAAAGTTCATGCTTTGAACATAACACTGAAATTATTGAAGAATTATATGGATTGCTCCATGAAGTCAGGGGTGAAACTAAGATTGAAATAGACACATAGGCACAATTGAAATAACTTTATCAGAGCTATTGATATTGCTTTTTTTCATATGTTCATACATCGTATGAAATGTTTTATAGGTTTATTTTCATAGGTGCTTTACAAAAGAATTGTTCAAAGAAAAAAAAATGTTCATTAAGTTATAGCTAAGTTACTTGCAATTCATGTGGGGCTTGTTATGTTATAATCAAACTCTTGTGTATTGACATGGCCTGGTGGTGAACTGCTCCACTATATATACTGTACATACTTATCATCTCTCATGTGTACAACAACAGCAGTGATGGCAGTTTACAGCTGTATACTGAATGCAAAGAATACATGTAAGTACTTCCATCCATTCATGTAACAAAACTTCATATTGTTTCACACCTAGAGAGGCATAATTTCTATTCACGTAACAGCACATTCATTTCCACCACGTTTAGTTCTGCGGGAGTACCACATTGACAAAATCTGCAATTTTGACAATTTAATTTATTATAGTTGTTTGCCTACAATCAAATAATTTGGCCACACTTGACTCAGTTATTTTCTAATAATATTTTGTATTAGTGGATTTTGTTAAATGTGATAAGCTTTTTTGTTTAGCATAAATTAACATTGAATTTACTCTTCGTATTACTTTAATGTTAACATAAATATCCACTTTTCATTAGTTTAACTAAAATTTATGTTTTGTTTAAAGTTAATTCAAAGTAAGAAGACATTATGTACTGTGAATTGTAGAATTGTATGTAAGTAATGTTTCTGTCCTTGTATAATACCAAGAAAACGTAAAATATAGTTTTTATTTCAATATTTTCATAACATATGTATATATATTTCTTAATAAAGGGAAACTCAGTTAAGAAACCTTACTTGATTTAATCAATATTTAATTATTACAATATTAATATAATATTTAATTATTACACTCTTTTATTATTTTTTCCTCACAGGATTTGGGAGTTTCAGCACTATCGTGGACCATGCCTTTTCAAAATGCCACAGCTGGAGCCATAACAGAATTTGTTATCATTGGTTTTAATGGGACTCAGCATCCAAAGACTGTTGGATTCATCATTTTGACAATTTACTTCCTAATTTTGCTGGGAAACACCACTAATATATGCATCATTGCAAGGGATAGGCGATTGCACACGCCTATGTACTTTTTTGTGTCCAACCTCGCTGTTGTGGACATCATCCGCAGCACCAGTACCAGCCCAACAATGATCATAATTCTTCTAGCTGACATGACAACCATCTCTTACAAACCGTGTCTGACTCAGATGTTCATTTCCACCTTGGGCGATATGATGGAAGTATTTACCATTACACTAATGGCTTATGATCGTTTGGTTGCAATTTCCAATCCTTTACGGTATCACAGTGTCCTCACAAAGACTCGTATTTCCTTATTAACCATATCATCATGGGCGCTGGCTTCAGCCCTTATTGCTGTTTTTACAGGAATAGCAGACAGACTTCCCTTCTGCCAACCAACCCTTCAGTATGCATTCTGTGACTATGCTGCTTTGGTAAGTGCAGCCTGTGTCAATCCTGAAATTCTTCTTCTGTTACCATCTATGATTTCCTTGGTGGTCATTTTTTGCAGTCTGCTTTTTATTTTGATATCCTACATCAATATAATCTTTGCTGTTCTTAACATTTCCTCCTCGGCTGACAGGAAAAAAATGTACAGCACTTGTTTAAGTCACCTGATAGTGGTCGCCTGTGTTTTTGCCCCTCCTTTTATCGGAATTATGTTGAAAAGGAGTGGCTTTTCATTAAGACTCTCAGATAGGCACATATTAATTATTGTCTGTACTCTGGGACCCTCTCTTCTTAACCCCTTTGTATACTGTTTTAGAACAAAAGAGATAAGATACCAGCTGTTCAGTGTTTTTAATACTTTTGTTACTAATAAATAGTGTTTCTTTACTGGTTTATCTTTATTTTTATTTCATTTATAATCATTAGATATACCCACACAAGCCGTTGGTTTATGGTTTGGGCTTTAGTGTTTTCATAAATATTTTTGTATTTAAATTATAGAAAAGTGTTTTAATATGGCTTTTTACCTTACATTACAAATGTTATATATACAAAAAGTAATAACATTTCAGAAATGTAAATCATGGGATATTCAGATTTTTATTATTCAGGAGCTTAACATTTAAAAAGATCTATTTATATTGTGCTATTTATAAAATCAGGAAGGGTTGTCACAGAATCCATATTGCCGTGTATTTATCAAAATAAAATGTTTTTTGTATTCTTTCACTGGCAAATGTTTAATTTTAATCAAACTATTCCCAGGGAACAAAAACAACTTAGAATTTAATACACAGGACAATTTTCACAAATACCATCTAATTACATATTGTACATATAAAACTATACAAAATGATCATGTACAGCATTGTTTTCAAATTACACTTAACAAAATAAATAATAAAAAGTGAATGAGGTTATCATTTTGGTTTTGCTGTTTTCTTTTTTCTTGAGCAAGAAAGCGGATGCACTAATATTACCATTTTTAATATTTATCAGGCTGTTATCATAAAATATATCCTATATATCATGAAAAATATTTGAAGAGTACAATGTCACATGATGTAGAATAAACAAACAGATGTTATCTGTTATCCCTCATTGTGTAAACAACTTAATGTGACTGCAGTTTTACCAAAAACACGTCTTTATTTTTTGGTGTTAATACAGTATAAGAGTTACATTACTACTGTTAAATTGATGGTCACATTGCATTCCAGTCCCCACAATTTCTCTTTAAATCTCCTAAATCATTTATCACATACTGTAGATAACAGGTAATAAGATATCACAGCCCATGTAATTTCCCCATGTAGTGCTGATGTATATTTCAGTGCTGGATTTCCCATTAGGCACTGTAGGCACAGGCGCTCAACTCACTCCATCAATAATGTGGTTCAGCATTAGAATAGTTTAAAGTGCGTCATGTCAATCAACGTAATTTAATTTACATTTACCCCTCTTTTTGCACATTTTGGAGTGAAAGTTCCTAGGGCCTGAGAATACCAAAATCCAGCCCTGGTATATTTTTATATATATATACTGTATTTGTTTATATATAGTAAATATGTATGGTGGTGTAATGTATGGTAGCATAACTATTGTATTAATGTGGCCTATTATGTTTCAATCTAAATTAAGTTTATAAAAATAAATTTAGTTTTCACTTTTGGCTTGTTGAACTAATGAAAATAAAGTGAATAAAGACCTTTATGCTATATCGTAGACGAAATTTCAGGAAAACAATTTATATCTTGTAAATCCATTTACATTTAGTTCACTTTAATCTTATGTTAATTGTGGGCACACTTATCATTTAAGATTGTGATTTAAAAATAAAAAAACTTCAAATGACCTCTAGTATTGAACATTTACTGTACTTTATTTTGCAAGATATTTTTATTTGTTTTTTCCTTGTTGTATTCTACTGACAGGTCAAGTCTTTAAGAAAATAGGAGTGCCTTAGTTTAATTACTCCAGCACTGTAATTAAGCTACATCTGCTACATTACAGTAACTCAGTTTCCTGGTGGTTTACAGTACAAACATTACTTTGTAACCAGGGTGTGCCTTGGATATGAATATCATCTGAAGAAATAGATAATGTGTTAATTGTATTCTTAAGTAATATAAAAAATGAATAATATTTAATAAGTCCTAAATAGGAGAATTTCTAAATTGGCATAACAGAAAGTAAAATACATTAATCAGTCCCACTCCATCACACCATGAGTCTGACTCCTCTGTCCTTTGGCTGTAATTTTATTTTCTAAAAAAGCACTGAAATACTATAGCAGCTAAAGCTCCCCAACTGCATGTTTAAAATATTGTAGGTTGTTTGCTATAATCTTTGAAGGCTGCCATGGTAAAAATGACAAATAAATACAAATAGCTGTATCATTATTACAAACATGACAAACATCATTTTGTAACTTTTCTTTTTATTAACCGCAAAAACTTGCATAAATAACAGAGAACAACTTAGACTTATGAAGTTTCCTGCCATGGCAAAAGCTGTAATAAGGTATAAGTACGAAGTATGAAGAAGAAAACTGCATTAGTTCTCCAATTTCTTTGTTAATAGAAGTATCAATTGGTAATATTAATGTATTCTTGCATTTATTCTACCAGAAAGTAGGTTTGGTTTGCATTAGTGCTACATTAATGGGGGAGGCGTTGGAGAGTGGCAGCTGCAGGGGAATGGGCTGGTGAGAAGCTGTTGGGGGTTGTACTGTAGCTGTAGGCGGCCGTGATTGTCAGGGAATGGAGGAGGTGTTGGGCAATCGCAGCTACGCAGGCTTAGGGAGCACGTGGCTGCGGGGGGATGGATGGTGAGCCACAGAGGGCCCTGAATCAAACCTGTTAAAGAACTGGTTCAGCTTGTTTGCCATCTCCACATTCCCTTGTGTTACACCCCCAGCCTGTTTGAGGCCAGTGATCTCTCTCATGCTGTTCAATACTGTACATCCCTCACCCTATTCCTTTGCATCTTGTCCTCTACCTTCCTCCTGTAGGATTTCTTGCTCTCTCTTAACTTCTGCTTTAGTTCCCTCTGTACACACGTAACCTCTTCCCTGTCCCCCTCCTCACAGTCCTCATGGTCGCAGGTTGGCGCTGGACAATAGGCTTGTATAGTGGTAAGCAGGATAAGGTTGTGATCTGATCTGCCAAGAGGGGGAGGGCTGTGGAACTATATGTGTCTTTAGCATTGACATATAATAAGTCCAGTGTTTTGTTTTCTCTGGTCGGACACTTAATAAACTAGTGGAAAGTAGGCAAAGTGGTGGAAATAGAGATGTGATTAAAGTCTCCTGTTCAATCCTCAATCTGGAGGGTCTGTGAGTCTCTCGGTTCTAAGGTGTCTTTGATGCAGCAGCATCAAAGCAGAGATGAGATAAGATAAATTGGTTGAATTAATCTAATAATGAGCTTATTAAAACAATTAAAGGCTGGGTTGGAATAAAACCATGAAAAATTGCTGACCCTGTGGGAGCAACGGTGTTTTGTCATATATTAGCGAGAGGGGTAAAGGTCAAATCCAAAACTCACAAAATCAACCAAACCAAATGTATGACACAACATAGTTATGAAACATGAATCAAATGATAACAGTTATGAACGTCAGCATTAGGAAAAAAATATAAACATACTATCATTGCAAAACTAGTGGCATGTTATAAAACCAGAGTCTTCACAATTGTTTCAGTATTATAGAAGAAGAAAAATATTTCTTTGTATGCTCAAGTTCATTCAAACAGGCCTGCAAGTATTTTATAGGATAAAAAAAATATCTTGATGACTAAACAAATTATGTTTGTACCATAAAATGGGTACATTCCCATGGCAAAGCTGAATAAACTAGTGAACTCAATAAATTGTAAGATGCGTAGGTTTTACAGCATGACATCTTGCACTTGAAAAATATGGAAACAGGTAGCATGAATGTGGTATGAATATATTTATTATAAATAAAAAGATACCAAGATACATCTCAGAAATGGTATCCCATATATTCAGTACTGTATGTAGGGATAAAGGAAGAAAATATTTTAACCTGAGGTTTTTATCCCACTGAATTGATTTTTTTTTTTATTTATGATTACTACATAAAATATGTTCAGAGCCACTTCCATCAAAAACAATTGTTCAAACATAAAATTTTGAATTGTATCTAACTGTAATCTAATTCTCAAGTTACTAATTATGTTACTTGTAGTTCAGGTGGGACATCTTTTAATCACTGAAGACTCTTGTGTACACAACATGCCACATTGGTCAGGTGTTCTACAATAAATGCTTTTCAGCAGTTCTTACATATATACATGTACAGCAACAGAATCAATGTTAGGTCTACAGCTGAATACCGATTGCAGACATATGTGTAAGTATTGTAAAATGCTAAATAGTTTCAATCTTCATACAGTATTTTATAATTACCTGAACTAAAAGATGACTCAACGAATTTTCTTATCTATACTTGCACAGAAAACAATGTATTACAGCACTGAATGCATTGCATTGTAATTTTGAAATCTGAGATTTTAGTTTTTATTTATACATTAGCAAATTGGAAACATAAAAAAATGCCTGCATGGATGCCTGAGATTAGGACAAAATAAAAGACAATGGAGCATTTTAATAATCAGATTAATAATTATATAATATTAGCTGTGATCATTTTTACCACACCCACATCTGTAAATGTATTGTAAAAACATGTATACTTCTTCACTATTTTATTATATATCATGGTAATTGTGGTTAAAGGAAACAGTGTTTCAAATAGTTTATTTCAAAATCTTTACATTATTTTAATGTTGTCTTTTAATGTAATGTTTACAGAAATATTGAATTACAGGACAACTCAATCTGGACCATGTCTCTTAGAAATACCACAGCTGAAGCCATAACTGAATTTATTATTGTTGGTTTTAATGGGACTCAACATCCAAAGACTATTGGATTCATCATTTTGACAATTTACTCCCTAATTTTGCTGGGGAACACCATTAATATATGCATCATTGCATGGGACAGGTGTTTGCACACACCCATGTACTTTTTTATTTCTAACCTTGCTGCTGTGGATATCATCCGCAGCACCAGTACCAGCCCAACAATGATCGTCATTCTTCTAGCCGACATGACAACCATCTCTTACAAACCATGTCTGACTCAAATGTTCACATACTTCTTGAGCAATATGATGGAAGTGTTTACCATTACACTAATGGCCTATGATCGTTTGGTGGCAATATCCAACCCTTTACGATATCACAGTATCCTCACAAAGACCCGTATAATCATGTTGATCGTGGTGTCTTGGGTACTGGCTTGTGCCATTATTGCCAGTTTTACAGGCACAGCAGACAGACTTCCTTACTGTCGCAGGACTGTTAACTCTCTTTTCTGTGACTATCCAGCTTTGATCAGAGCAGCCTGTGTCAATCCTGAAGATCACCTTCTGGTGCCATCTGTTATTTCTTCGTTTGTTACGTTTGGCAGTTTCACTTTTATTCTGATGTCCTACCTAAAGATAATCTTTGCCGTGGTTAAAATTTCCTCCCCAGCAGACAGGAAAAAAATGTACAGCACTTGTTTGAGTCACTTGATAGTGGTTGCTTGCGTTTTTGTCCCTCCTTTTGTCGGAGTTATTCTAGCCAGGATAGGCCTGGTGCTGAGTCTTGTGGAACGACATGTATTAGCTATCGTCTGCACTCTGGGTCCCTCTCTTCTCAATCCTTTTGTTTACTGTTTCAGAACAAAGGAGATAAGGAATCAGGTCTTCAGGATATTTAAGAGTGTTGCACCCAGTAAATAAAGTGTCATCAGGTTATATTTTATAATTCAATTTGTAAGGTTATAGTGTAACCAAATAATAGAAATAGAAATAGAACTTAACTTTTAACCTTTAATTTAAACTCTGCTTATACATTTTCAAAGTAAATTCTAATAATATTAATAATGGAATTTGCATTTATTGTAGTTTATATTTATTCATGAACCTTTTTGTCAGTTTCTTGTTTTAGGTGACTGCTCATAAATTAACAAAGCACACCACTATAATCTGTGTTTTTGTTTTTATGTTAATAGACATAAAAGATACTGTACATCTTTACTTGTCTACGTCCTTGAGTTCTGAAATGAAAATAACTCCACTTCCAGATATTTGTCGGATACATTGAAAACATACTGTAAATGTTTTGATTTACAGTATGCATTGGAATTTTGTACTACCTGATTTAAATTGATCATAGGACATCCAGCAAAATTATTTTGGTCATGGTATGTACAGTATTTTAGCTTTCATTTAAGCCATAAACCAGGCTTATACTATATAATCATCCAGAATTATAACAAAATGTTTGTGGGGACATCATAACAGGTGGAATTTGACTCTTTTTCCAGTGGCGACAAAGCGTTAAGATGTATCTGTTGCAATTACCATGTGTAAATGTTTTCAATAAAAAAAATATTATATTCTAATTATTCATATCTTTTCATTACATGTATAAACTGCGTAGTTTCTTTCTTTGTTTAAAACTGATTTCTGAGTCTTGCAGAAATAAGCTAACTTAAAATTTCAAGGATGGCTTTCAGCTTCGTGATTTTAATCATCTTTTTCTAGTATTGTTTTGTTTCAAGAAGTGGGTAGCAAAACCCTTGTGTAATGCGTCCTGAATGTTCTCTGGATTGAACTAAAATCTATATATGGACAGAATGGGAAAATATTACTGTTTTCCAATTACATTGTATATACTGTATGAAAATTAATGTGATCGACAGCTGGGACTTGCTGAGTAATAAAATGATACTAAAACTTGAGATTCTAGTGCGTTTGAACTTTTATATCCATCCATCCATTTTCTAATCACTTTATCCAGTATAGGGATAAGCAACCAATGGGTGCAAGGCAGAAATCACACTGGACAGAATGCGCAGGACAAAATTTTTATACTGTACATATGTCATATCAAAATTACTTTTCCCTGAGGAATGATGATATCTGTTGAGAGCTTAGAATTTAGAACAGGTGTAACATGTAGAACCAGCATCTTAGTTTAGTGGACATTGAGTAGGGAGCCACATGAGCATGCGCAAGCTACAAAGGAACGGGTAAAGGTTCATTCCATGCCGAAAGGTAAAGAAGAAAAACACTACTGTACATTTCAGCTGTGGAGCCTTCTGTTGATTTCGTTTGAAGGACACACTTCAGAACAATGACACTGTTCTGAAAACATGAATACGTGACTTGTTTCAGAAAATAACTATTAGGCCCAGAAAGAGGCCTCAGGCTGGAAACGAGAGCATTGTTCTCCATTATTAGGAAAATATTCAAGCAAAGCATATGCTTTCTTCTAAATATGTTGTAGCTGGTTAAGTGCTAGGTAAGGGGTTTATTAAAATATGACATAAAATCACTCCCCCCCCCCCCATTCCATTGTACCTAATATTTGGACACATCCTGCTGAAGTATAAAAACAGTGATCTTGTTTTAACCTCATTCTGTGTCTCAAGTGTTCTGTTAGCTCTGTGCTTGATTGCACCAGCTACACTAACAAGCTGACAGATGATAATATCCTCACAGGGGAAACTGGTTCCACCAAGTTCCTTAGGGTCTTGTGTACCTGTGAATCACTCTTACCATTAATTAACAGCTCAATCCTCAGTTTCTCTCTTGAGAATGGGAATGTTTGACAAATGATGTTCTGTCCCTTTTCTTTTAGGTGAGTGTGTGCTGTCTCCATTACAGTGGCTAACTTACATACTGTAACTTGGGAATTACCCAAGTCATGACAACAGATGCATACTGTATTATATTATTTGAAAATCATTTTGAAAGATTTTGTAAAGTGACAAAGGTTTTAACTTTTACATTAAGGTAGGCTAAAGTCAGACTGGGGAATTATATAGAAGACTCTTCCTAATAAGCATGTACTGACTGTAATTCAGAGAGGGGCATTGAGGATATTTTAAATATGGAAACCAGCAATAACACAGCCTATACAAATAACAAGTAATTCACTCTAACAGCAAGATATTTACATGTTTTATTTACTTTACTAAAAAGCAGCAGTTTCCACCATATAGAAATATAAAGGTTGCAATATGTCCTACATTGTTAAATTAAAGTTATTATTAAACATTATTGAAGTTAAACATCTGTTTCCTTTCTCAAAGTGATACAAACCTAAAGATCAGAGGATTAGAAAAACCTGACTTGTACTGTACCTAATTTACTGGTAACTTGTACCTAATTTACTAGTAAATGTACACTAAATTATCAATTACAATTATTGCAATAAATTGAATCAAAGGGCAATCAAAGCTTATCAACAAGTGAATTGCATTAATTAAAAATAAATTGTGAATAGCCTTAACTCCAAGGCTATTATACAGTGCCTATATTTAGAATGATTATTATTTTTCTGCTGAAAGGCTGTGCTTCAACAAATGATTAAAATTCAGATTATTCATAATTACTTTTTTAGATTTAAATAAAACATATAGAAATACCTCACTGGCTAGCCTGATTTTGCAAATTGTAAATGTGTCTTGTTCCAATTAGTGAAATAGGCCACTGGGGTTAAATGCCACCTGAACGTCTTATTATTAAATTACTAATACAGTACCATTACTTCAGGGCCTTAAAATTCCCAAGGTGATAAGACATATCTGTTTCTTTCTTATGGGATTTATGAAGTATCTAATGACATTAGCAGCCAAATTAATTGTACTGTACTGAATACAGTCTTACTGCTTGGGGATTTTTCTAGTGTTTCCTGATACTTTAAACATTCATACTTTGTTTTAGAACAAGGTTTATAGCAAACAGGTGTGGACATTTACAGATTCCTTCAAAAACACTGACTGGTATGTTACTGTGTGTACTGCAGTTCTACAGAAACTACAAAGCAACCAGGTGTACCATGTAAGGCCTGCGAGAAATGTTTTTGCTTTGATCTCAGTGTCCCTGTATTTACATCACAAACACAAATTACATTCTCTGTATTACCCGGATGTTGCACTGTATTTACAATGAATGAATATAGTCACTCCCCTAGGCTTTCCACTCTGTAGTACGATAGTCATAATTTAGGGCTGTTACACTCAAGAGGAAAGTTTATAAAATATTAACTTGAGAGAGACTCTAAAATTAATATAATCAAAATTATTCATAATTAAATCTATTTTGTCTGGAGTTTTTGAATTTATGCACTATTTTCCCAGAGTATAGTACTTCATTTAAAGTGTCTCTCAAAGAGCAGGAGCAGGATGTGCTTCACACAGGATTTATTCATCTGAGCTACTACAAACCAATCCAATTACTGTAATAATATCTCAGTTCTGGAAATCTGCTTTTTATGCTCAGCTGAATCTTAGTAATATTTTCTTTTTCAAAATATTGAACATATCAGGCATGTTATGAAGGTGCACAGAACACAGCAAATATTAATTTTATATAAAGTGAGTTTTATAATAACCCAACACATGCCCACTGCTAATAATTTTTAGATGCAAAGAATGTCTTGCATTAACATTAATTAATAATATATTATAAATGAATACATTAATAAATTAATAATTCATTACCTTCCAGTCTCTTCTGTAGCCAACTCTCAGGAGGGCTTGTAATGAAATATTTGGGTGCTATATAACCATGTGTTCATATTAAGATTCACTTCATTTCCCTGGCAGTAAGTACAAGTTCAGTAAAGCAATTTCCTAAAGACATACTGTACATATGAAGCATCTATAACTTTGTTATTGTAAAGATGATACACTTTGGTTCATTCTGCATATTTTTGTACCTTCTCAATCCTTTAATATTGAGAAAATATATGTTATGGATTTAAATGATAATTATGAATCTTTATATTAACATATGACCATATTAAATACATTTGAAGTCAGGGTAGGACTTGTTTTGAATTACCCAAGTCATGACTACAGATGCATGCTGTATTATATTATTGAAAATTATTTTGAAAGATTTTGTAAAGTGAACTGCACCTGGTTGTGAGACGACCTCGAATAAAACACATTTCTAACTACTACTGATGCAATTTCAAAAATGGATATCTCCAGCAGCACATTTAATTTTTGTATGAAAAGGCAAACATATTATTTTCTTCTAAACACTTTGCATTTCAATACATTGCCCTACAGAAATATTTCAGTTTTGTGTGACACCAACTTTAACTGTGTAAAAGGCTCAGTTTCAACATATGCTGTATCTTTTCCTTTCAGGTTCCTTCACCAAACTTTTGCAGAATTCTGGTTCATGGAATTTCAAAATTAAACATCTTTTGTCATCACAGAAATCATCCTAATCATGACTACATGAGTTGGAGCAGAATAATGCAGTTGGAGCAATTATTCTGTTTATCCAGTTGGGATAGTCCAGTCTGACTTTGTTGGGAATTATGACCAATATTTGCATCATTGTCCTTCACAAACCACTCCATACACCCATGTTCTTTTTTCATTTGTAATTTGGAAACTACATACACGCTCTATACCATCAGTATCAGTGTAGCCATGCTGAATATACTTTTTAGGGAAAGAAAGAAGAGTTTCTTATGGACCATGCATTGCTCAGTTGTTTGTGTTTCATTTAGGAAGTGCACTGGAGCCCTTAGCTATTGCTCTGATGGCTTTTGATTGATTGATTGCAATCTCAAACCCCCTGGGGTATCACAGCATCCTCACAAAGACTCGTGTAATGTTACTAACAGCAGCTGTCTGGGTAGTAGACATTGGTGTGTCGGGCTTTTTTAACAGCATTGTTAATGGACTACCATAGTGTCGCTTAAACAC